CCTCTGCGTGGAGCTGGGCGCCGGCGTTCCAAGGGGGCCTCAGGGCTGCGGGGCTCTTCCCCCCGTGCTCGGGTCTGCGCCGGACGAGGCGCGCTCGCGCGCCAGAGCTCTAGGCCGGCTTCCTGGTGCCGCATATCCAGCTGTATAGAGGTCTTCAGCTCCCAAGAGTTATTTTGTAGCTGCGATTTTATTCACGTGAGACCATTGCGCGGTTTTACTGTCTTGCGCTCATACACCCAATCACCCATACATGCGCGCGCGCGCGCGCGCGCGCACACACACACACACACACACACACACACACACACACACACACCCCACTTTGGAAACAGCGGGCCTTCCTAACAGGCGAGAGAGCCGAACATTGCATGGTCCACTTTGTCTGATTAACATTTCTAACGTGAGGTGTTTCCATAATCATTTGAGATGATTTGCTGAGAAATAACGTGTAGGATAAATCCCTGTGAAATAGCACACTATTTTAAAATAGAAAGCAAACAATTGAATGAATTGAACATGAAATGCAAAAATTAATTTGGGGTGGGAGGATAAATCATAATTTCATTGCTTCATCTTTGAAAAATATCTTGTCTTTAAAGAAAATGCTGAGCGTTTCCAGACTTTTTTAAACAAAATCATCTATCAGTTGAAAGAGAAATTGCTGGATCAAGATCTTGCCTGATGTTTTCACGGTAATATTTAAATGTGGCATTTTGATTCCATTCTTTAGACCTGCTGCCAGCATGTGATGGAGAAAGGCCCACTTTGGCATTTCTGCAAGATGTTATGAACATTTTGCTTCAGTATGTGGTGAAAAGTTTCGATAGATCGACCAAAGTGATTGACTTCCATTACCCCAATGAGCTTCTTCAAGAGTATAATTGGGAATTGGCTGACCAACCACAAAATTTGGAGGAAATTTTGACGCATTGCCAAACAACTCTAAAATACGCAATTAAAACAGGTATTGTCCAATTAGAAATAATAAAGCTCTTTTTTTCTTTTACACTTTTACTTTTTCTATAAAAATGTTTTGCTTTATGGAGTTACTAATATTTTCAGACTTAAAAAGTTATTTTCATTTAAGTAGTAGTCATTAGAACGATTAAAATCAAAAGCACCCTTTATTATTAGTGTTAATGCTTCTGAAGTTGAAATTGTCAGAGACATTATCTACATAAAAATTGTCAGATTTTACACTGCATACATTTGCCACAGCGCTCAACCACTAATGCAGAAGCAACCATTTGTCAGCAGAGGCCAGTAGAGGAGACCCAAAATGGAGAAAGAAAAGGAATATGGAAATGACATCTCAAAAGGCATAATAGAAACAAAGCCCAAATACCAGTATAGTACTGGTAATTTGCTTGGCAGAGAAATGATCTGAAATTGGGCAAGTCATCCTATGTAATCACTGAACCAGAGGAAAAATATTTTGGCATTGTTTCAAATGGCCAAGACTTCAGATTTGAGACTCAGTCTGCAGAATATGCTTTTTGAAGGCTTCTTATATATTATTCTCAATTATGTTCCTGGAGAATCCACATGATGTGGATTAAAGATGTTCTTCCTCCCAGCTTTTCAAGTTTCTGTAGGTGCAAACTTGAACAATGCTTTTAATTCCTTTTTGTTTGACCCATTCCCTTAACCTAATATTTAACATATTAATAGTAAGTAGCTACTTTAGAAA